CAGATTTTATGAATTGTTACGTGTATATGCAAGATATCAGATTTTATGAATTGTTACGTGTATTATTGCAAGATATCAGATTTTTATGAATTGTTACGTGTATTATTGCAAGATATCAGATTTTTATGAATTGTTACGTGTATTATTGCAAGATATCAGATTTTTATGAATTGTTACGTGTATTATTGCAAGATATCAGATTTTTATGAATTGTTACGTGTATTATTGCAAGATATCAGATTTTTATGAATTGTTACGTGTATTATTGCAAGATATCAGATTTTTATGAATTGTTACGTGTATTATTGCAAGATATCAGATTTTTATGAATTGTTACGTGTATTATTGCAAGATATCAGATTTTTCTTGCCAATTGCTGGGCAATTTTGTGGATTCTGTTGTGATTGAGTTCTTAGATTAGGGTGTCACCAAGTCATAGAATCTGACGCAGGATTCTCTGTTTGATGATCAAAGGTTTAGTACAAACTCAGTTTTCAGTGTAAAACATTTTCATTAAGATTAGTCTGAGATGCATGACAGGTTCCTGAGTTGTTTATGTTTCCTATATGTTCATGAGGCACCTCCCTCCTGAATTTATCGAATGACTATTTCAATTATGATTCCAATCAACAATTATTTACTTTAGTACACACCCAAAACAGAATTCATAATGACATGATTTATTGTAGTAAAGACAATAAAATAACTTTCAGTATTATACATCTGTCACCGTAACGCCATAGCTTACAGCATGCCGTAATTTTGTAGTATTTTCATCTTCTCATTTAAGAAAATGCCAATTCCAAATATGGAATGATTACTAGCATAAGTGTCCTCTAATAATAAAAACAAATATGGCTGCCACCAGGGTTTGACCAGACAGACTCCACACAAAGAAGTTCGCTGATTCTGTTCTGAACTTCTTGGATTTCCGCATTCCCATGGTGTATCCTTGGAAGGAAAAGATGTATAATAATAAGGTTATTACAAAAATACCTCAAATGATGCGCTCAGACAGTATTCCGTGTAACGATCTCCGCTGCGTGTCGGTTGATACTCCCCCTACTGTCTTCATGCATACTTTAAGGTATCTTCGTAATAGCCTCCTAGTATAACTAAATAAGTATAACTCACAAAAACCATTACTTTATTTGATTTTGGCCAAACTGAAAGGGCTTTCAACTAAGTTTTGCTGACAATACTACTTTATGAAGGGCTGTGAGGGATTTTTTTTTTTTTTTAACAAATAATTCTTATATTTTATGAAGAATACTATAGTGTCCCACAGCAAGCTGCTAACATATTCTTGTTTTTTATTGTTTAGTTGCTTTGACTCACCTAGAGGATCCTGACAATGCTAGACAAGCGTATGAACAGGCAGTCTCCTTGGAACAGTAAGTCAGAATTGGATTTAAATAGAACATATCTACATGTATTGCTTTCCCATACATTTCATATTTCTGTTAAAAATTTATTTATTTAAGCAAAATGTCAAAAACTTCTGTGCGGATTTTGATCAAATTTGGTAAATAGGTGCTATGGGGTAATGTGCAGTAAAGATTAGTTTTGGAGCAAAGTATATGCATATTAAGTAGGTGATTTGCCTATTGCCTTATTTCAGTCTATGTAAGCAAAATGTGTTCTGCAATAAAACAATAGAAAATAAAACAAAATTGACATTATATTTAATATATTTAAAGTTTTATATTATGATTTAAGATGATAGTGTAATGCATATAATTGTTTCCTTGTTTCATCTCCAGAAGTGACCCATCCGTCCATCTCAATTTTGCAATATATCTGTACAATATTGGGGATCGGAAAGCAGCCTCACATCACTTCTCTCAATTTGAACAGAAACTACAAGCCCAGAGAAAAGACAACGTCAATGTGGAAATTGATACAGAGGTCAGTACATATTAACTACATGTATTGTATGTGTCATTTCATAAATAAATTCCAACATTTATGATTGAATTTAATTTTTTAGCTCTGCTGTCGACAAAGTCAACACAGCGTTCATATTACTGATTGTCCGCCGTCGTCTGTCGTAGTCAACTTTACAATTTCAACTTCTTCTTCAAAACCGCAATCAGAATGTTTTCAAATTTGATATGCAAGTACCTTGGATGGTTCTTTCTCAGATTTGTTCATTTCATGTCACAATCTCAAATTCTCTATTTTTGGTGAATATTTTTGTAATTTTATTGTTCAATTTCTAATGGTATCTTCTGTTCTTTAGGCCAGACTTTTATTATCCCTTGTTTCGCGAACCCGCCTAATGAACAGGAGCCGAAAATGAAATAAAAACAACATTTTATTTCAGCATAATTTCTTGCGTCAATTCTTCATTTTTTTTCCCGCCCGCCGCATAACATACCCAAGTCGCATTTTCGTGGGAGTATCATGATCAAAGTACCGAAGTCTCGTGCAGATGAGAAACAAGGTTACACATGGAATAAAACTTCATTTCATTTCTTCTCTCCGATCAATGATCTCACTTACAATTCTTTGAGAATCACACAAATCTAATTATTTTTATTTTTTCCCACCCTCCTCAAAAAAATTGCCCTATATAAACTCAAGAAACAAGGAATAAAAAAAAGTCTGGCCTTAATTGAAATGTGCATTGCTAACAGCGGAGCTATCTCAGCTGACAGGCTGCTTGTTGTAATGTGCATTGCTAACAGCGGAGCTATCTCAGCCGACAGGCTGCTTGTTGTAATGTGCATTGCTAACAGCGGAGCTATCTCAGCTGACAGGCTGCTTGTTGTAATGTGCATTGCTAACAGCGGAGCTATCTAAGCTGACAGGCTGCTTGTTGTAATGTGCATTGCTAACAGTGGAGCTATCTCAGCTGACAGGCTGCTTGTTGTAATGTGCATTGCTAACAGCGGAGCTATCTCAGCTGACAGAC